TATGTGTGACCTTCCAGGCTCTGTGGCACATGCCTATCACTCCTGCACCAGGGAGTTGGAAGCAAAAAGGGTCAGGAATTCAAGGCCATCCTTGACTACATATCAGCAAGCCCGAGACCTCATCTCAAAACTAAAACATAGCAAAATGGGAAGAAAATCAAAGTGCACCTTGTTAAGACTCTGGAGACGGGGTACAAAGCAGAGCACACCCACATCTCTGAGTTTGGTCTACACTTTACAACAGATTAAACAAAGTCATTACAATGTTCTGCCTAAAGAAAAAAAAAATCTCAACAAAACGACAGAGATTCCTGGGACCCCGAAGAAACATTTTTAAAGAGGGAAAAGTCTTACCTGTCATAGAATGAATGCCAAGTCTCGACATCAAAATGACTGACTCCGGAAGTCTAAGTAGCTCTCCACGCATGTAAAAGCTGGTATAGCGCAAATCTATCCCTGCTGACAGTTCCTCCTGGGAGCTATCTCTCTCTCCTCCCCAAGGCACCCAAAGAGTCACTGTTGGAAAAACTGCAATACTAGACTGGCAGAGTCCAGCCCGAGTCCAGTCTGTGTCCGGGGTGACCGAGGCAGCAGGAACGCTCCGAAAGTGACAAAAGCGATTGGCAAGTTCCTGTGCAGAAGTGAGTTTCCTGTGGTTGGCTTCTCCACAGTGGGGTTTCGTCTGTGTGGGTTTAGGGGCGTGTGCGCATGTGCATTTCCCTCCTTGAGCCTGTGAAACCTACCCAAGCAAGAGGCAGAATAGGGTTTTTGGTGCACCGCTGGGTTTGTGTTTGATTATCGTTTTATCCTTCCTGGATCGTTTCTCTCTCCCTATTCCCTCCAGTTTCCTCCCCGAAATTAACTACATACAAGTGAGGGAAGGAAGGGGGTGAAACTGGGATGATTCTTTCAGGAAATGAAACAGAGAGGAAAATCAATTTCACTGTCCTAGCCGGTCTCGGTTAATTTAAGCTTAAGTAAAAGCACTTAACTGAGAACTTAACTTCCGGGCTGAGGATGGAGTCGGTGGGTAGAGTACTTGCCTGGCCCTGTGTTTGTGTCCCTGTATTGAAGAGAAACCATAGGTGGCACACACCTGTTATCCCAACGTTCAAAAGGATCAGAAGTTCGAGATTTCCCAGGTATGATGGTACCTGCCTTTAATTCCAGTACTCAAGAAGCAAAAGCAGGTAGAACACTGTGAGTTCAAGGCCTGCCTGAACATAGAGAATTCTAGACCATCCAGAGCTACACAGAGAGTCTCTGTCTCCAAAAAATTTTTAAAAAGACTTTGTTTAAGGTCATCGTCCTCAGCTGCACAAGGAGTTCACCACCAGCCCATCAGGAGACAGTCGGTGCGTTTTCTGAATCACTCTGCGTTATTAATAACGAGTTGTGTTGCTAGTATTAGTAACGATTTAAAAATGAACAGGCCGGTGAGCATAGCGAAAGTCAAGTAACCGCCACAGAGCAGCACCTGGGCCGAGAAGTACTGGAATCTGAGCTGTTTTCAGACCCCTCTGAGTTTCATTATTTGCCTAAAAACACAACTGTACTTGTCCCTGCTCTCTGTGCCAGCCAGGTGTAGAGGCCATCTGCAACAATGTAACCCACGGCCAAACTGCCTCAACTAGCCGTTTGCCTCTCCTGAAGAATTAACACCCCAACCCTCCCATCCCATGCCCCTGCACTCAAAGTCCTGAATCACTGTAAATGCTACTACCCAGGATGATAACTTGCTCAAAATGTCGGAGTACCATAAGAGTAAAGTCAGTGATGATCAAGTCAACAACACACAATGGTGTTTAGAGCTGGGGTCCAGCGAGGGGCGCACCGGGACTTGGATTACTGTTATGACCTAATTCTGTGTGAAGAGAAATGCACAGAACACAAGGTAGACAGGTTCTATTCTTATAGCACGAAAACCCTATGAACAAAGATAGTCAAATAAAGTCAATCATTCCAAAGCATACCAACAATTACAAAGGAATCAGCGCAAGCACAATCAAGCCAGAGAGCAAGATACCGGAGAGGCAGTGTGAGCTGCTCACACATACGATAAAGCTTGAAACTGTGACACCGCTCTGAGAGAAAATTAGAATGCCTGAGGCATTGATTTTGTTGTTGTTTTTAAGTTATCAGTACCAGCATGCCACCTGCAAAGATCTCATCATTTTTAACCCACCCTTGAATTTTTCTTTTTTTTTTTTGGAAATGCAACTACAGCTGTCATGGATAAGAAAGAGGTGGGCCAGGGAGGGGAAGAGAGTGTCAAATAGGCAAACAGCAGAAAGACCTTAAGGCAGACATGACATTGGAGAAGGTTAAAAGTATCTACTAGCTGCCTAGGCAGTAGGTACTTTAAATAGGATCAAATGGCACATCTCTGAGTTCGAGGCCAGCCTGGTCTACAGTGTGAGCTCCAGGACAGCCAGGGCTACACAGAGAAACCCTGTCAGGAAGAAAGAAAGGAAGGAAGAGAGGAGGGAGGTCAGTCAGTCAATGTACCTGTGGCATGGTAAGGACAGAAGAAAGGAGACAAAAACCAGGCTTATAGATGGACACACAGAAGCCTCTTGGAGTCACCCCAATATCCACTTACTAGTAAAATAGGAATTTAGTCTCTAACAGACACACAGTCTGTCTCCAGAAAATTCCCTGTGGGAAGCTGGATTACCACTGGAATATTATTAGGTAGGCAAAGTACAAACAGTTTGTTGGCTAACTTCTTTCCTTGCCTCTGAGTTTGCGTTTCGAAGGGTGAGGGCAGCTGCTACAGACACAGAGATCTTTGCCAGATGA